GGAAGAGAAGGGATTGCGGCATGGCCATCTCCCATGAGGATGATTGCTTGCTTTCTGTCTCTCTGTCTCTCTCTGTCTTTCTGATGAGTGCACACACCCTATAGCAAAAACTTTTCCAAAAACAAGGGCGGGGGTACAGTAAGAAAGGAGGAGAAAACTACTGTGACTGTTGTGTGCAGAATGGATTGGAGTGGAAGTAGAAACTATTCAGGAGTATATTATAGTGAACTAGAATGTGTCTTAGGTTAGGATTGCAGCAGGAAAGATGAGGAGAGTTGTTAGATTTAAAATATATTAGGTGGCCGGGAAAGTCATGAGATATTTTTCAATGTTTGTCTATGCAAAACTGCATCATGACTTTCCAGACAACCCAGTACTTTGGAGGTGAGATCAATAGGATCTGATGAAGGATTAGACATAATGGTAGAGAAGAGAATACACTATTCCCATTATTCTGGCTTTAGTACCTGGGTGAATTGAGATAGGCAAGACTGAAAGAAAAGCTCAAGATGCCTCTAAGACCTAGGTAGGAATGGAATGTAGAAGTCCAAAGCTCAGAACTAAAGGCTAGACTGGGGTAATAAATTAATGAGTGGACTAATATGATTTTATAAATTTATATTTTATATATTTACAAATATCAGTATTTGCATATTTATGTTTTTTATTTTTGTATTTTAAACATATTTAAAGTAGAAGGACTAGGTCAGATGATGTGGGGAAAGTGATCACAGAGAAGCCCTGATCCAAACCCTAGGACCCTCCAACATTTAAGGGTACAGTAGTTGCCAGAGTTCCAGACAATAACCTTGAAAAGGAATATCTAGAGAAACAGGAGGCAACCAGGGAGATTGGCTGTCATGGAAACTAGGAAACAGTGAGATGTCAACGGAAGGGAGCAACTAGTTTTATCAGATGCTGCTTAAATATCTATCATCTTGGGACCAGCCGTTGGTGTAATGGCTATGTTGCTGGACTCACATGTAGTCGACTGCGGTTCAAATCCCGACCCAGTGTCTTAAACTCACACCAGGTGCATATGCATGTGTGCCCAAGATCCCTAGAGGAGAATGGAGAAGGGACTGTGGCATGGTCATCCCTCCTGGGGGGTGATTTCTCACTTTCTCTCTCTCTTTCTGGCGAGCGCATGCGCCCTATAGCGAAAATCTCTCTCTCAAAAAAAAATATATATATATCATCTTAATAAGAATATCAAGAACCCTGGGACAATGTTCAAAGACTCCTGAACAGCAGAGTAGACTTGAACAAATAGAAGATATGTCTTGTTCTTAGATAGGACAACTGAACGCCATATATAAATGTAATTAATTGAATGTTAGCTCAGTGCAACTATATATTATCTAGGGGTTTTTTTGTTTTTATT